TCCCTCTTCATCTCTCCCTTTATAAATTTTCTCCGTGTTGTGTGAGCATACAAATGGAACGAAACATCCTAAAAGGATTCAATATCCCAAAAGGTGTGACGAGCATGAAGTTTATGCTCAAACTTAGCAAGGAGATCATGATCACAAGGGAGAACAAAGAGGAATTATGTACTATAACAGATAATTCTTGAGGTAGCTGATCGATGAGCTACATGAGCGAATGAGGATGATAATAGAATAATTCAAACAAGAAGCTTCCATAATCTATGTTGAGACACACACGAGGTCATTGTGATCAATGGTTCATAGAAGTTAGCTACCGAGGATATGATTGAAAAGTGCTCTGGCTTGAGGGCATAATAAGAAGGATGCGACGATGAGTCATATATTATGATAGAAGAACTTCATGATTTTTCATCTAAGAAGAGCAAGAAAGAAGATTGAAGAAGATGCAATTTCATCTAAGAAGAGCAAGAAAGAAGATTGAAGAAGATGCAAGAGCACTGAAGAATGTTTTTTAAGAGAGATTTTAGAGGTTGAAGCCTCATAGAATATTAGGATTCCATCATTATAATTTTATAAGGGAAAAATTGACCCTGGTTGAATTCGTAGGTTGTTTTAAGTTAGTTGTAATAAATGATGCACTGAAGGATCGTTTATTCTTTAGGACATTGAATGAATTGGCTTTACGCTGACTTAAAAACTTTCTTATATGAGTTATGACCTCATTTTGTGAGTATAAATATATGTTTTTGACCCAGTTTGATAGTTACAAAAAATCACAAAAAAAACACTAAAACTCTTATGAAGATTAGATAAAAGCCTGAGGAGTTTCATCCCCGAGCTTCAATGGGAGATGCTCGATATCAGAGACTTGGAACCTATTGTATCCCACACAACATTAGCAGGAGGCTACGTGAGAGCCCATTATGAAACACTCATGAATTATAAATGCCAAGGATTCTAATTGAGCTTTTGGAATTATATAATAACCAAATTTTGGCTAGAGTAATGCTCCATGCTAAGTTCATCCAAAGT